ACCTGCTGCCAGACCACCTGCTGCAGGACCACCTGCTGCCGTCCCTCCTGCTGTGGCCCCACCTCCTGTGGCTCCAGCTGCTGCTGCCCCTCCTGCGCCATTCCTAGCTGCTGTCGCCCCTCCTGCTGCATCTCTAGCTGCTGCCGCCCCTCCTGCTGTGGCTCCAGCTGCTGCCGCCCCTCCTGCTGCTGCCCCTCCTGCTGCCTGCGCCCAGTCTGTGGCCGGGTCTCCTGCCACACCACTTGCTATTACCCCACCTGTGTCATCTCCACCTGCCCCCGTCCCATGTGCTGTGCTTCTTCCTGCTGCTGAGTCTCTCTGCCTATAATTTTTGTGACATATTAATGTCTTCACAAGTCACACATAATTCGTTAGCGCCAGCCAGTGACTGGTGAATGGAGTCTTAGCTGCCAACTCATCTTCTTATTTGGCATTCAGCGTTGGCATTCCGTTCTTGCAAGTGAGTGATTAAAACAACTGTCAAATGATTTTTAACCCCGGCCCAAATGCATCTATTTTCAGGCCAGCAATATCTTCATCCTATGTATATACGACTCTGATGATCTTACATGACATTGGTTTCATATGTCCTAAATAAACAGCCATTTCTATGGATATTAAAATCTCCCAGTTTGTTAATGATTTACCATGTGCGTGTGTGTATATGCGTGTGTCTTTATGTATCACCTCACACCAAAGTACATCTTGCTTTAAATGCAGGAGAACATGTTCAAGAGCAGTTACTTACAAGACTCCACTAGGCATTCATTGTATGACATGGGCAAAATTGCTTAACCTCTCCAAGCCTCAGTTTGGTTTCTCTGAGAAATGGGGACAATACACCATGTTCCTCAAAGGTCCAAAGACATAATCCATGTAATATAGTTGGCACAGGGTGGGGCATGTAATGTAAGCTCTCAATAAATATCTCTTTTTTTGGACTAGAATACTATCTTAGCATAGTATTGTCTTTGATAAAACAAAGAAAGGTTGCAAAATTGTTTTACTGTCCTCTGTAACTCAAAATTAAGTTTTAGTATATGTCTCAAATGTCCCTTTTAAAAACACTAGTGAGCTGAACATTATAAAGTCATCTAAATTTCACCTGACTATATTTCTACTTCCAGTATGTTCCATTATTGGTTGTGCAAATATTGGGTGTTCTACTTAGCTCAAGTACTCTCTCCTCCTTCCTTCCCTCCTCTACCTTCCTTCCCCCTTTTCTCTCTAAGCATAAAAACTCTCTTTTAGAATACGAAGTATACCTTCTAAATCCAGATTTCTGGAAATCTATGAAGTCCATGGCAACCTTTCCATAAATATTTTAAAACTTTTCATTAATAGAATGTTCAAAATTTTAGTATTTCTAGACTGAAAGTCTATATTTTTTCAGTCTTATGAAAACTCTCATGTTACTGAAGTTTCTCATCTTCTTGATGATTTTTTTTTCACTTTGGGCTTTTATCACCTTGCCTGGTTTTAATTAAGAGAATATGCACAGGGTATTTCTTTGAGACAGTTTTCTCAGCATCCAGACTCAGGTAATAATGATCCTCCTTAGTTGAGAAAATGTGCCACAATATATATGATAATATCATGTTTATATAAATGTAAGGGTCTATAAATTTTGGTTCATAATCTGAAGTATAGTGAAAATTTTTTAAATTCAAATTGTGCATACATCAGTTTTATCTATTAGCTGTGTTATATTTCCCAAAACTTTAACAAGTGTAATTAAGGGTTATTATTTCTAAAATTAAAAAAAAGTTATAAGGTATAAGAGACAAACCAGGTAAGAGTTGATATAAAATGGGGCTCACCCCAACACAAGTTGGGTATCATATTCTTAGCATATCCTAGAAATGTCCGGTAGACATTTTCAGCTTCACCTTTTCAACTTATTCTGAAATGTTCTACAGAATACAGCCCTGTCTATTCACACACTAGAATTAACAAATCTTTTATCCTCCCATATGTTCCTCTTTGATAACTAGTAATTATAGGATGCAGGCTCTCATTTTAATGTTATGCTTTATTAGCTAGAGCTGAATCAAAGAATGTAGGTTTTATACTGCTTTTTTCAGTATTGAAGTATCTGAGGCTTATAATTTCCTGTTTTTATAACGAGAACTGGGTCACAGCAGGAACAAGATAACACTCTGAATCTGTGTAATAAAAGGACTATTTACAAAGGTGTAGACAGAGCTTAGGGAAAGCAATAAGGAATAGCTCAATTATAGGAGGCACAACAAGCCTAGCCAGACTGTTATGCCATCCCAGACTTGCCTACTGCATTCTTTTCCATGCCAGCTTCAGGTTCTGCCAGGTGCAATTTACATCCTCATGGCAGAGAACCAAGTATAGATTTACTGTTTGGCTACATGGATGTTTGAGTTCACTAGCATATTGTCATAATGTAGTGATGCTGACTTGGACTTGATAACCACTGAGAGCAAGTTAATACTACACATTGATAATTGTGGCATTCATGAGTGAAAAATCATCAATGAATTTGAAAAAGCAAGTCCAGGGATATTGGTCTGTAATTGTCCTTTTTGATGGGGTCTTTGTCTGGTTTTGGCCAAACTGTGGAAAGAGCTAAGATGTCCATCGACAGATGAATGGATAAAGAAGATGTGGTATATATACACAATGGAATATTATGCAGCCATCAAACGGAATGAGATCTTGCCATTTGCAACATTTAAACTATTCCTACACTCCTTCTAAAGGAGATTGTTTTCTTTTCATGTCTTAGCAATGCTGGTGTTGCCAAAGCTCATATGGATAGAGGGGTGGACGCAGAGCTGCAACCCACAGCCCAGCTCAGTGGTTATGGCCAGAGGACTGATCCAAACAGTGGGAAGACTTGGGGATGGGGAAAAGTTTTCCAGCCCCATGGGGAAAATGGTAGGCACCATAGTGGCATCACATCATAATTCAGCTACCTCGTTTGAGGCAGCTTTAGTGGGTATGCACTTTCTTTACTTTCTAAGAGAAGAATTACATAATCAGCAAGCATATTTGGGGTATAGAGGTAAATTCCAAGGGAACTGTTTAAGTATTACATGTTCTCCTTTATTATAATATAAATAACATCATCTGGAAGGGACTATAGATTTTAGTTTGAATTATTTAAGAAAAATACACAATGGTCACAGCTAATTCCAAAAAGAAATAGAGGGGTACCTGGGTGGCTCAGTCGTTAAGCATCTCCGTTCGGCTCAGGTCATGATCCCAGGGTCCTGGGTTTGAGCCCCACGTCAGGCTCCCCACTCCACGGGAAGCCTGCTTCTCCCTCTCCCACTCCCCCTGCTTGTGTTCCCTCTCACTCTGTCTCCCTCTCTCTGTCAAATAAATAAATAAAATTAAAAAAAAAAAGAAATAGAAAAATATTTTTATGAATAGTGAACATCAGGGGGCTCTTGGCCCATGAAAAGGAATTTGAAATCCCCCAGAATACATGTCCATAGACATTTGCTGACAGTGGGGTTTCTAAAGACTCTATGTAAGTTTCATGCTTACTTATATGTTAATAATTCAGTATGCATTATTAACCTAGAGCAACATGAGGATAAAGACAATTTCTTTCCCATCTGACTTTGCAGAGAGGCAGGGTATATAGTGCTTAAAAATGTGGACTCCAATGCTCAGTTGGCTGGAAACAAATCACTGCTTCCTATTTATTGGTTTTAATTCTCCCTTTGCCTCAGTTTCCTCATCTGTAAAGGGGAGATTATAGTGAAACTTGCTGCATTGGGTTGTTGGGACTGGCAAATGTGCTCATCTGTGGAAAGCACTGGAACAACTGCATCATGTGCTGGTTGTTGTGTTATTGCAGCGTCCAGCAAAGTGCTGAGCAGGCAGCACTCAGAGCCTTCAGAAGGAAGAAGGACAGGAATTCCATAATCCATTGTGTTTTCATTTTGCATAGGCTCCTGAAAAGAACAGGCATATTTAGTGCATAATCATGTCGATGATCTCTTCCTTATCTCTAAATGGCTTCAGTTCTTTTTTTAGCACATAAATGCTTTCTGATTTATTTATCCCGTAAAACTTTAAATTACTGGCTTTTAGGAGGAAAGGGCATACGTTATATACATGGAGAGCTATAAAATACATAAAAAACAGACGCTGTATGTTTTATAAATTTTATAAAAAACCTTCCTTATTCCTCTATGTTCAATTTGGTTCAAGCCTTTGCTGATTCTTTCTTTGAAGTAACTCTGTTATGCTCATTACCATCACCTGAGGCTATGAGCACATATCTCACCTTGCTCCACTTCAACCTTTAAACAGTGTCTCTCCCCAGAAAGCCAAGTGTATTTTGGCATTTCTAAAGGCAAATCAAAACATTAAAGTCAATTATATATGGCATGTATATATTACATTCCTGCTTAATAGCTTTTAAAAGATCCCACCATTTCTCCTGAAATTTAAGGCTACACACAATCTCTCCCTCATTCTAGCAATCTCAATTTATCTCTCACTACTTCTTAACCTTCCATACATTTCCCTTTCATCATCACAGGCCAGAGTTATGCCCAATCTCAACTATTGTCCTTTCTCTTGAACAACAAAGGTCAATGTGTCTTCTCTGATGGCTGAGACAACATCTACAGTCATTAAACAGAGATCTCCTTTATCAAAAATCACTCTATTTCAGCCCTGGGGATACAAAGATGGGTAAAGCATATTCCTTGCCCTAATGGAGTTTATATTCCAGAGGGAGCCAGATACATAAATGCATTTCTGGTAGAAAATGATATGGTGGAACCCATGCATGTATAAAGCACAACGGAAGTGCCATAGAGAAAAGACTTTACTTTTGTGCCAAACCAAGGAAGATATCGGAGGAAGGTGGCATTTGAACTCAATGGGAAAAGATAACTAGGAGAACGTTGAGCTCACAAAAGACTGCAGGAAGAGGGACTATCGTGAATGTAACTTGCTCTTTCCTTGAATATTTTTTCCCCTGAATACCGGTGGCATTGAAGAATACCTCTTACTTAGGAACATAACCAGATCTGACCTTGATTATAAAACTCTTTATGGATGTCATTACTATGAAAGTATATGTAAGATCATAAATACCATTTATATTTCCCTTAATGTTCCTAAGAAAATCTTAAACATATATGATACCACAAAAACTGACAGACATTTTAGGTTAAAATATTTGAAAAATTTTTAATAAAAATGGCCGTAAAGTATAATCATGGCATATTTTGACATTTCAAAAGACAGATCAAAAATTATCAGCCCAATTACTCTAGCCCAACCCAGAAGACATTTCTGAAGATCAACACCGATCAATCCCAGATGACTCTTTGCTATTTAAAAACCCTGAGTTGCTGCTGTTTCAAAGTACATCAGAGTGATGAGAAATAACACAGCCTGGAATGCTGTAGGAATTTCATTAACCCAAAGACCACCACAATATACACAATTAATCATAAGTCTCCTCACTTCTTACAGTCAAAAAGAAGGAGCTTACTTCCTTTTTTCCTACCAGCATTCCATCTATTGAAATATAAATTTTCCACCAGAGATCCTTCTCCATCAGAAGCTCTCCCAAAATCATGTCAAGGTGAGAAACAGAGAAGAGACAGGGACCCACCTGTGTCACATGATACCCAGAGATTAAAGTCTTGTGACAATGCAAACAAAGAAATAAGAAGTGATTCACATGAGAACCCTGGGGAACTTGAGAAAAGGGAAATAACTATTTTCTATACATTGGGAGTTTTTACTAGAAAAATATAATGACCTAATTTACTAATTGCATTTGTAGTCAATATAAACAAAAAGAAGGAAATAGTCTTTTCATAATCACAGAAGTCCCTCAGCAGGGTATAAAAGGGGCCATGTGGCAAGGAGACTTCCTAACTCAAGACCCTCAGTCTCTTGGAAACACACCCACAACTTCCACCCTCTGACACAATGGTTAGTTCCTCTTGTGGCTCCGTCTGCTCTGACCAGGGCTGCGGCCACGGCCTCTGCCAGGAGACCTGCTGCTGCCCCTCCTGCTGTGGATCCAGCTGCTGCCGCCCCAGCTGCTGCCAGACCACCTGCTGCAGGACCACCTGCTGCCGCCCCAGCTGCTGCGTGTCCAGCTGCTGCCGCCCCTCCTGCTGTGGCTCCAGCTGCTGCCGCCCCTCCTGCTGCATTTCTAGCTGCTGCCGCCCCTCCTGCTGTGGTTCCAGCTGCTGTGGCTCCAGCTGCTGCCGCCCCTCCTGCTGCCTGCGCCCAGTCTGTGGTCAGGTCTCCTGCCACACCACTTGTTATCGCCCCACCTGTGTCATCTCCACCTGCCCCCATCCCATGTGCTGTGCCTCCTCTTGCTACTGAGACCTTTCCCTGAGTCCACCTTCTCCCCTTCACTGGTTTCATCCAGCAGCAGACTCTATACACTATACGGATGCCTTAGGGGTGGCCATTTCCAACAACTGTGTGTCCACATCCCAGCCTCAGGCCAAACTCTCTCACCTTTGTTGACCTTTTCCCCAAGTGGACCCAGAGTATGAAATTAGGTGGTATTCATAGCAAGAAATTACTAGAATTGCCCAAATTCTACATCTGACCTTTTGACTTCTAGGTGTCAAGTCACTCTGTCCCAAACTCCTTCAGGGCCCGCAGGGGCACTGCTGTCATAGCCTCAGATCCAAAAGTCTGTATTTCCTTTTACAGGAAGATTTCTGTATCTTGTCGTTGCTCCTGAATAAAGCTCCACTTTCCTGGCCTAGAAATACAATGTTCTTGTGTCTGCTGCTTTGCTGTGATTATCCTCATTTCCTGGGGGAATTATAGCCAACATGCCACTGAATCAGGCTTTCTAGTCCTGGCTCTCACCCTCAGGAAAATCCCAACGTGGGGAGTCTGACATTAAAAAACAAACTAACCAATCCAGAAATAACAATATACAGAATGTCCAAAAGCACTGATGAATCATAAAGATTTTTATGTAAAAAATTTAGGGGCATGCAGGAGAAGGGTTATATGCCACAGCAAGCCTTTCTTCAATATTTCTGAGAGCCTACTTTGCCCTACAATTCCACTCCTCATAGATGTCTCATCCCTCTGTTCCTTCCCTCTCTCTTCCTCCCCTCCTTTCCCCGTCTCCATTGTTCTTACCTTGTCAGGTTTTCTTAGGAAACCAGGGGTTCCTCCTTATGGTCTACCCTTCTCCTGTGTAATCCAACTTATTATCCTCTCAGCCTTCTCTAACTTCATCTCCAACTATTAACAACAAAATAATGATCTTTTGGGAAAATCAATCTCCCTGAGTGTGGAGAATAGCATAAAATGGAAAGTACTCAAATTTTAATATTTCCCTATCTTAACAACTTTTCTGGGTTGTGTTCTTATACCCATGTTTAGGAGGACTTTTTCAACAAATTTTATGAAGAGTGTGGGACTGACAAGAAACCAATCAATGCACTTGTTTGGTTCTCAGTAAGCCCAGAATATTCCCAAATCCCTATGGACTCTATCCCAGTAAAAAAAGGTACAAATAACTGCTATTCAACATAGTATTAGAAGTCCTAGCCACAGGAATCAGACAACAAAAAGAAATCAAAGGCATCCAAATCGGCAAAGAAGAAGTCAAACTCTCACTCTTTGCAGATGATATGATACTTT